CCTCGACACACTCATTGCGACGCCCGCGCCCCCCCCCCTCCAGCACGTCCTCCGGGGCGCGCTGGCTGCCGCCACAGCTGGCGCGCATGTCGCCGCTCGTCCAGCGCGCTCTGGCCACAGTGGCCATGATTGCGGTAATCAGAATGGGCTATTACATCCCGCTCCCCGGCGTCGACTTGATGCGACTGCCGTCCGCCGCGGTCGGCAACACAGAGGGTGCGCAGCCGCCAGTCCGCCGCGCGGAGCTCCTAGCGCATGCGACTCTGTGCGCGGCGGGCATGCGCAGCGCGCGCCCGCTGCGCTGCGAAGGAAGCGCGATCGACCGTCCTAGCGGCGCCTCCTCGCAGCTTGGCCTGGCCGCCTGCCTGCGTGTTGCTGGTTCCCTGCATCCCCCGGTCCCCCCAAACACGCACACACACACACACACACACACACACGCACACACACACGCACACACACACACGCACGCACACATACATATATACACACACAAACACTCACACACACATATACAAACACACACACACCGCGACCAACGCCCGTGCAGGCGAGCGCCTGATGCGCGCGATCTACGGCCAGGCTTCCGAGCTGCCCGCCAGCCTGTTTGACCTGGGCATATCCCCCCACATCAACGCCAGCATCCTGGTGTCCATCCTCCTGCTGCTACCCAAGGAGCTATTAGAGTGGCAGCCACTGGACAGGCTGAGGGAGGCGCGGAAGGAGGGCAAGTCGGTGAGGGGCGCGCGCAGGGGCGAACGCGGGGGCGGATGGGGGTGCAGCGGCCGCGGGGCCGGTGTCGCGGGCACTGGGGTTGGTGATGCCCCCCGGCTGGTGGCGGGGCGGGACGGTAGGACGGGGCGTGGCTTTGGTCATGGCGACAGCGACGCCTGGCAGCCGTGCTCGCTGCATCCCATGCAACTTGCCTGCTGCGGGTCCCCTTGGTCCCCCTGCCCAACCCGCCTTTGCCGACTATGTGGCCGTTGGCCTCCCCACAGGGCGAGGCAGAAATCAACGGCGTCATTAACAACACGGCGCTGGCCCTCGCGCTCTGGACGGTGCGCAAGCTCAAGGGGCAGACGCCCAAGCACCCCTGGGCTGGCGCGCTGCTACTTGCGCTCCCCCATGCGCGCGATATGCTGCGAGCCATGCTGCGAGGCCCGTCCCCGGCCCGCCGCCTCACCGCGCAACACCACACGCGCGTATGCCCCGCAGGCCTTCACCCGCGCGCGGCAGCTGCTGCCGTACGCGCTGCTGCCGCAGTGGTTTGTGCCGCAGGCGACGATGGCGCTGATGGCTGGCACCTTCATGGTGCAGCACTGCGCCAACACCATCACCGCCGCCGGCATTGGGAACGGCTCCACCCTCGTGATCTGCATGGGGATCATCACGGGTGCGCGCTCCAGTGGCAGCGGCCCACCCGCGCGCCGCGACCGCAGCGCCCGGCTTGCTCCGCTGATAATTGTGACCCCCCCACGTCCCGTCGTACAACAGCGCCAGCCCCCAGTTGCTCGCCAGCTCCACGCCTCCCGCGCGTCCCTCCAAGCCCTTGAGAGCCGTGCCCGTGCGGGACAACCCTCTGCTCCTCAAAATGCACCCGCCTGCTCAACCCCTATCGAGCCGACCTGGCAGCCCTCTGCGCCTCGGCCCGTTCCTTCTCATTACCCGCAACACCCCACCCGGGGCAGCCCTTGTCTCGAACCCATCCCTCCCACAATCATGAGCATAAGCAAAGCTGAACAGCAAACCGCCACCACCACCGTCACCACAATCACTACCATAACACAAGGAATCCAACACTTATTGCGTCAACCACTCCCCTCCCTCTTCCTTAGAGTATGCCGACACCATACACGCGGTGCTAACGGCCCTGGAGGCGTCTGCGCTGCCGCCGCTGCGCCTGGCGGCGCTGCTGGTGGGGTACCTGGGGCTGGTGCTGTTCACGGTGTATCTCAGCAGCGCGGAAGTGCGGCTGCCGATGGTGCAGTACAGCAGCACGCCGCCGCAGGTGGGGGCGGCTGGGTGCCGGTGTTGTTAAGGGTGGGGACTCAGCAGCTGCGCCGGCTGCAAGGGGGACGCTCTGCTGCGCGTAGTTGCCGAGCGGGGGTCTGGCGCGAGCGTGGTGCGTCAATTCATGCAAAGAAAGTCAGGGCCAAAGGCCCTCCATTCTGTCTGGGTCAATGGAAGGCATTCACCGCCCTTCCCTTCACCCTCCGCTCGCCCGCTCGCAGCCGCGCGGCGCGTCGAGCGGCGGCCAGGGGGAGCTGTTTGCGCAGGCGCGGCTGATCTTGGACCGCCGCGCGGCGCAGTCTGAGGCTTCGGCCACGTACTTCCCCATCCGCCTCAACTCCTCCGGCGTCATGGTGCGCGCCGGCCGCCCGCCGCGGCAGGTTGAGCTGCAGCCCTCTGGCCCGGCTGTCGCAGGATGCCCTGCCCTTTCCTCAACTGCACGCACGTATGCACGACCCTTGAACGCCGCGCCGACAGGCCCATCACACATGTTATGATGCTCGGAGTGCACTCCCCTCCAACGACGCACCCAACACATCCCGCAACCCCCTCCGACCGGCACCCCCTCAGCCCATGATCATCGCCTCTGCCGGCTACTACGGCCTGCTGCCGCGCTTCCTGGACCTCCTGGGAGCCCAGTCGGCCGTCGGCGTGCTGCACGCGTTCCAGGCCTCCCTGCCGGGGCTGCTGCTCTACGGCCTGCTGGTCTTCGCGATGGAGTTCCTGCCGTTTGGCGCGGTCAACCCGCAGGAGGTGTCGGAGTACTTCAGCGCGGTGCGGCCCCTGGCCCCGCGGGTGCCCCCTGACGAAGGAACCCTGGTCGTTTCTTGCGGCTGCCCTCTAGATGTGTGCTGTGCCGCGAAGCTGAGCGCGTGGCAGCTGGGTGCATCAGCCCTCAAGGACAATTTATTTGGACGGTGCATGCACCAGGTACTGGTGCCAGTGGGTTTTGCACTTGTTTTCCACCATGAAACCCTGCACAAGCGTAAACACACACACACGCACACGCACGCACACACACACGTGACAGATCAACGTGGGCATCAAGAGCGTGGCCCCCGGCAAGTACACGGTCGACTTCCTGCAGCAGAAGGTCCGCCAGTGCAAGTTCTGGGGCGGCCTCGCGCTCGGCGGCCTCGCCGTCGCCGCCCACGCGTTCGACGCGCTCTGCAACGCGGCGCTCGGCGTCAGCCTCGCGACGACGAGCCTTGTCATCATCGTCGGCGCGGTGCTGCAGACGTCGCGGCAGGTGGCGTCCCTGCGCGAGGGGCCCGCCCTGGAGCAGCGGCTGGACCAGGAGCGCATCGTGATAGGGTCGCTCGCACACATGTGATTGCACGGATCGTGCCATTCCAGGCAGCCCTGTCATGCCCGTTGCCTCCCTCCGAGGCCGTTCGAGCGCCTGTCCACGTTTCTGTAACGCTCTGCTGCTGCCGGTTGTGAGGCAAACGAGGCAGCACTTCGTGCCTGCCAGGCTACCAACTCCTTGCTGCGTCGAGGCCTAGTCGGGCCACACTTGCTGCTGTGTTACAGGAAGCCTACAAGCTCTTGCGTTGGCTGGTTGCACAGGCATCCCGCCAAATTGACAGATCAGCGGAATGCAGACGCGCCGCCGAAGCAGCCCCGGAATCAAAAATGCTGGACGTATCAATTGTGAGCGAGTATGTGCAAGTGTGTCCCCGTGATGTCGCCAGTGGGCCATAATTGCTGGATATCTAGATGCTGTAGCCGACGCCTGCCAGCAGCTCCTTGAGCTTGCCGGAGTTGTAGGCAGCCACGGTGTCTGCAGGCAGGCGCACAGGCACAAAGCGCACGTGAGAGGGAGGGAACAGGGGCTGAAGATGATATTGTGACCACGGTAAACATGGACAGCTGCGCAGCGCAAGCAGCAAGCTGCAGGCAATGAAGCAGCAGCGACTGCGCATGGCAAGTCAGTCCCTCGGGTCAGGCGCACCGTCGCAGCCGCCGACGTGGCTGCCGCCGATGAAGACCTGCGGCACGGTCCTGCGGCCCACAACCTCCAGCAGGGAGTCCTGGTACTCGGGGCCGTCGTCTGCCGTGTTTTGAGGGGCGGGGCAGCGCTGTGGTGGGAGGGAGGGCGCGCTTGACCGACGGGCGCTGGACCCGGTCCTGACAGCGCTGACAACCCTTGACAAGCGAGGCACCCGCCTTGCCGTGCCACGCGCGATTGAGCTGCTTCTGTACCTCCATCAGCGGATCTAGTGGTCCCCCTGCCCATCCCGGACCCCTTGCTGCACCCTGCCCCCAGCGGGCCCCTGGGCCGCACCCAGAGTGTTGAGCTCGATAACCTTGGCGTCCACCTTGAGGTCACCCAGCAGCCCCTTGACCCGAGTGCAGTAGGGGCAGGTGGTCTTGGAATACACCACGACCTGGCAGGCATAGGCGGTCAACAGGTCAACAGGTTGGTTGCTTGGGTGGGTTGGTTGTGGATGGTTGGTTGGTTCCGGTTAGTAACGTCGCTGGGTGCATGGACCTTGTGTGCCATTGGGGACGGCAGGCTGCAGATTGGTTGCGTGTCGCATGGCTCGGTTTAGCAGCGCGACAGTTTGGAGCAGCGGCGGGGCTCAGCACCTTGTTGTCCTTCACAGTCTGGCGCACCGCGTCGGCCTGAGAGGAGGGTGGCGTCGGCGGCCGACAGGACAAGTGGGGCACGGTTTCGGTCGTTGGGGCTGCGCTGATGAGGCGAGCTGTCCGAGCGATACGGCTGCTGGTAACAAGGGGGAGTGCGGCGACGCCAAGGAAACGCCCTATTGATTTACCCCTGCTCTGCTTCTGTTGGTTGGCCAAACCCAGCCCACTATAACTGCGCTTCTGTGCAATGTGACAAGACATAGCAAGAGATGCTCTCCGCGGACCTTGGAGGCCATGGTGCGGACCGCCGCCCTGCGTCCTCGGCCTGTGGGTAGGAGGGAGCACAGGCAGGTGAGGGTGGTGGTCTGCGCCTGTGGGCCTCGTTAGCTGAGGCTGTGGCCAATGGGCGACTCTCGTGATCAATCCCCTTGAAATGCCATCTACTTGCCGTATGTCCCGGCCCTCCAGGTGCGGGAGCTGAGAGCAGAGACCGCGGTGCGCTGCATCGTGCTGACGTACTGAGTGGGTAGACTCGGGTCAATGTTTAGCACCAGGACGTCGAATTATTAATGAAAACTAAGCGCGGGCTCAGTCATAACCTATGTCCAGATCATAAACCTTCACGCCTACCCCGCTGCCTACGGCCTGCGAGTGTAGTGACGGGTGCTCATTGCAATCGACATTGTATATGATAAATTTTCATGGGCCCAGCGCCCTCACACCCGCGCGCACTCTCGCCAATTCAAAGCGCAGCGATCGGTCAAAAGTGCCGGCTAGGGCGTCGCAGCAGCTCCAGGACTCACAACAAATATTAGTCTAATTGCTCAGCTGGGCACGGAGGAACGCAATGTCGGGGAGGACGCCCTCTTCGGTAGGCTCACAACGCTTGTTTTGCCGGAGAGGCTGCGCGTGCTTGACGGTAATACTGCGGTACAAAGCATTGAAATTCCTTGTCGCCGCAGATCCTGCGCGGCAAGCGTGCTGCGGCACAGGGGGACGGCGGCGGCAAGCGGCGATTCAAGTCGCTGTCTGGGCGGCGTGTGAGCTTTGCGCCCGATGACGAGCTGGAGACCATGCACTTGTTCACGGTGGGCACAGTGCGGGGCCTCTACTAAGTGCCAGGGTGGGCACGCATGAGGGGTATGCGTCACGGTCATGCAGAACCACGCGCGAAGCACTGCTGCAGCAGGCAGCCACAGCAGAGACGCCAGCAGCGCCGAGCAGGCGCCAGGGGCTTGCCCAGGGCACACCTCCTGGAGGCGCGATCATATAAGACTCCTCCCCCGCGTTAATCCCGCACGCATCGCAATACAGCGGCTCGCACGGCACCCCACCACTGCTTATTCTGATTCCTCCCCCACCTCCCAAACAGGACAAGAAGACGCCCTCGCCGCTGCCCCAGCAGCAGGCGGGCACGCAGCCTCTGGGGGAGCTGCAGAACCTGGTCCACGGCACGCCCAGTCAGCAGGGCGCACCCCAGGCAGCTGCACGGCAGCCGCGCTTCGACTCGTCCCACTCGCCCGTGTTTGGCGCGGGCGGCAAGGGCGGCGCCGCAGCGGCCGCGGCCGCGAGCCCCGGAGGCCCGTTCTCCCCGACCATGTCAATGGAGATCACGAACGACACCATTCAGCAGGAGGCCGCAGCCATCGCCGCCGCGGCCGACGCCGCGGCGCGCGGCACGCCGTCGCGCTTCCGCGGCGCGGGCGGCGGCGGCGACGACGACATGAGCCTCACGCTCGACGGCGGCGCGCCGGGCGGCGCTGCGGGCGCTGGGTATGACGGCACGGGCACGTTCAACATCACAGATAACGTGCCCGGCCTGTCGACGCTGGTGGAGGAGGACGAGGAGGCGTTTGCGGTCGAGTCGGCCGGCGGCAACGATGGGACGGCAGAGATGGACCTGACCGGACTGACGGGCGGCGCCGGCTTCGCGCCCGCCGCGCCGCGCGCGGGCCTGCCGTCGCCCTCGCCCGGCCGCTACAACACGCGCCGCAGCAGCAGGGGCGATGCGGACGCGCACGTGGGCGCGGCGGCGGCGGCGGCGACGCCCGTGGGGGCAGACGCGGCGGCGGCGGCTGTGACGCCAGGGAGCAGCAGGCGGCGCAGCGGCGCGCGCAGCGCGGCCGCCGCCGGCAGCGTGAGCCCGATGATCATGTTCACGCCCCCCTCCGCAACCAGGACCACCCCTGCGCATGGGCGGGCCTCGGCCGCAAAGTCGCCCGCCCCTGCGGCGTCAGCGGCGGCGCGCGCGCCAGCATCTGTGAGCCCCTCGCCGCTGCGCCGCTCGGCGCGGCGGTCGGCCGGCCAGGCGGCGTCGCCGCTGCCGGCGGCGCTGCAGGCCGTGCAGGAGGCGGAGGAGGAGCACGTACCGCTGTCAGACAGCCACGAGCAGGATGCAGCCCAGGATGAGCCGCGGGAGAAGATGCAGGAGGAGGGCCTGGAGGAACAGCTTGAGGGGCAGGAGGAGGGGGAGCAGGAGGGGGAGCAGGGAGAGGAGCAGGAGGAGGAGCCCGGCCCGACCGCGCGTGCCCCCTCGCCGCTGGCCCTGTCCCCGGTCGCCACCGAGGTGGTTGGCGGCGGTGACGAGGGCCCCGCGCCCTCCAGCGCCCCGCGCGGCGGGGGCGCCGCGTCGCAGCGCCGCGCCAGCTCCGGGCGCCGCCTGTCGCTCCGCAGCGGCGGGGGCGGCGGCGGCAGCACCGCGGCGG